TTACCAACTATTTGATTTAATCATAAATTGCTCGACTTGTCATAGTAAGAAACTCTCTAAACATAATTGAAAAAACACAATTTAACAAACACAAATAAACTAAAAATGTTGTACTAATAAGATTTATTAATTTGTTTTAAAAAATTAATTAATTCAATATAAAAAATTATTTAGATTCGGTTTTTCGGATCTTAATCCAGAATTAAGAATCGACCCAAATCCATCGGTTCTTGATTTAGATACCCGTTCGGGCATTTAACTTATGAAGAACCGCTCGGTTTGGGAATTTTGTCCATCCCTAATGGTAATGCCAGGTTTTGAAAGGTCGGAGACCTATTCGCACTTATCTTAAAGATTAGGGACCTCTACCACAATTTTCCCTAAATAATTGTCCCAAAGGTTAAAAATGACATGTCGATCTCAGAGCTGGTGAGGAGAGTAGATATGTTCCAATCGACGAGCAGTAGTGGCTACAGCAATGGCTATCACGACGATGGTGGTAGTGGCGGCGGTGCTCAAGTGGCCGGGCATAGACTCCGGAGGGGTAGGCGCAGCAGGTCACGCGACCATGGCAGTGTTACAAATCTTAGGGTTTCTACTAGGATGATCCAACAGCAGCAGGAGGAGATGGGTACGGATAAGGCTCCCACTCCCTGTACGGACTTCGACATGGCATACTTTAACTCCTACGCTCACCTCGGTATTCACGAAGAAATGATCAAGGTACCTTCCGCCCCCCTCTTTTTTTCTTCTTCTTCCAGCTTTGGGTGTTTTAAGACAGAGAACTTTATTTCTTATTTACATTGAAGTTTAGTATCTTTATTTTTCGGATTAGTTTATTTGTCAGTGAATTGTTACCGCTATTTGATGAAAATTTGTTTCTTCACTTTGTATGGTTATGATTGTATTTGTGCTTTTGGGTGCAATGGATTTTCTATCCGGGTGCTTTTCACTTCTGTTGTCGAGGAACTGGTCATAAACAGCCTCGATTCCTATTAAAGGAAGAAATAAAATGAAGAAAGTTGAAATCTTTTTGATAACTGAAAGAAAAAGAAAGAATTTCACAAGGTCTTTTAGATGGTTGTGGTTTAGGATATAATTCGTGTGAAAGTTTTTATTTTTGCTCTAAATTATTGGTGCTCTTCAATTAGACTTCATTGATTTTATTTTTTCTTTTTTGAACTTGGGTAGGAATTAGGATTCGTCAAAAATTACACAATCACTTTAGAAATTCCAGTAATACTGTGGGCATTTGGATACTAATTTTCTACACAAATCCAACTCGTATAAGTTGCCGATCTTTGATTGACAATGGTTCAGACCGATGAAAATTTGTTGGAAAAACGATGTCATTTATTTTTAAGTTCATTTACTATTGTTTATCAAGTATATATTTAAGATTTTTGGTTTCAAAGTTGCAAGTTTAAATGCACTCAAATTTTACATTAATGTTGGAGTTATTTATTTATTTTATCTAAAACTAATGTGTTTGATTTGATATAACTATGTATATATGAAACTACTAATATTGAGCTCAATTTTGGAAAATCTGTTTACTGGAATTTTTTTCAGGCTTGTTTGTTGAACCAGTTAATTTTGAAAGTTCTGTTTGTTCACTATGTGATTAAAGCGGACTTATGGTTATATTGTTGGTCTTGCTGCTAAATCATAACTTAGATAGTAGAGAAGACAAAAAAAAAAAAAAAA